GCGCACCGGCGGCGCCGCAGCGGGGTTCGCAGGGCCGGCCAGGAGGGTGCTGCGGCTACCTGTCCCGAGGATGGGGCTTCTCTGAGCCTCGCTGCCTCCTGCACCTGCAGCCCTGGCTGGCGCTTGTCTCTGGAGCTCCCTCACCCTCTGTGGGGCCAGGATTCCTCTGGGGTGGTGCTCAGTTGAGCCCCAGCCTGTACTCCCCACCCTGTGTAAGTCAGGCCCTGTGCCGACTGGTACACCCCCCCCTCTGTGTAAGTCAGGCCCTGTGCTGACCGGTAACCCGCCCCCCGCCCGCCCCCGTGTAAGTCAGGCCCCTGTGCCCGTGTGTGGCCGGTGAGCTGAGGCCCTCCCCAGCAGCTGGGAGTGCAGCCCCTCCACCCATCGAGGGCATGGCCAGAGGGAAGGGGGAGGGAAGTAGCTCTCTATACGAGTGGCCCTGGGATGGGGCCTGAGGGCCGGGACCTCGTGGAACTGGCTCGGTGGAGGCATTCAGGCCCTGCTGGAGCTGTAGGGATGCTCCCTGCCTCTGGTTTTCAACGCCAGAGGGTGCATGCGTGTGCAAGAAGCCACCTTCCGTGGGACTGGATGGTGACGCTCTCCTCACCTGCACCTGTCGGGATCCTGGGTGTGCTCGGAGTGCCTTGCACACCACAGGCCGCTGCAGCCAGGACTCAAACCCTGTTGGCCACTCGGGACCTGGCGTCCTCTGCGGGTGCTTTAGGTCTGCACCATGGGCCAGCCCCACTGTGTGTTGGGGCTTAGCGGCAGCTTGCAGGAGGGGGGCAGCACGTGGGCGCCGTGACTGGGGGACATGCTTTCACGTTCCCACATGGACTCGGCTTTGTTTTTGTCCCGCTCACCCACCTGCCCAGTGGATCGTGTCTGGCTCGGAAGATAACCTGGTTTACATCTGGAACCTGCAGACTAAGGAGATCGTGCAGAAGCTCCAGGGCCACACAGGTGAGCTGTGACTGTGCCGGGGGTCGCGGTGCAGGTGGTGGGAGCATGCTCCCTGCAGCTCCCTGCTCCCCCATCCCGTCTCAGCCCTCTGAGGGCCTGGGAGGGGCAGTGCCGTGTCGCAGAGGCCTGTGCTCTGGAGCTCCTTGGGTGAAGGTGCCCACGCCTCTGCTCTGCTTCAGGCCAGGCTGCATTCCCTCAGCAAGTGTGTGGGTGCCCGTGGTGCCTTCCCGGAGGCTCTGCTGCCATCAGCAGTGGGCTCCCAGCTGCCCCCACGTGGCGTCACAGGGGCAGTGGCGCCCTCCCCCTCCGGTCTGAGCAGAGAGCACCCCCCACATGGGAAGGTCCTGCCCAGGCACGCAGGTGCTTGAGGACACGGGGCCGTGGCCAGTACTGGCTGCCGGCTGGCCTGCGTGGTCAGGCCATCACCCGGTGCTGGTGGAGACACGCAGGAGACGGCTGCACCCTCGGGCTCAGTTCATGGAAGAGATGCAGCCCCCACGCCGCTGACCACAAGCACCGGCTCCTGGGCACTGACTCCCGTCTGGGGACTTGCCCTCTTGGTGGCAGATCAGTCCCTCCAAGCCCTTTCAGCTCAGCAGCTGTGGGAGCGGTTGTTCTGGGTCCAGGTAGAAGGGGGTCGTTGTCCTCAGATGCTGGAGGACTGCAGTGTGGCCACTGCGTCCCATGAGCACACTTCTGGAACAGCTGTGCCACTGCCGGGTCCTCAGGGCCAGCCAGGAGGGTGCTGCAGCTCCCTGCCCCGGGGACGGGGCCTCTCTCTGAGCCTCGCCGCCTCCTGCACCTTTAGCCCAGGTGCTCTGTCCACGTGGACTGGCCTGCTGCTCCTCTGGTCATCTGCCGGGCTCCCATGGCAGTCAGGGCTGGGTGCGGCCCCGGCCCTACGTGCGTACCTCGCGGCTGTGTGGCACGGTCAGGGCTAGGGTGAGACCATGTCCCCGAGGCCAGCAGGGCAGATGCCCCCACTGTAGGGGGACTGGGCGCAGGGCGCGGCCCCCGACTGCCCAGACCCAGTGCGAGGGCTGTCCCGACCATCCTTTCAGATGTCGTCATCTCCACGGCCTGCCACCCGACAGAGAACATCATCGCCTCGGCCGCGCTGGAGAACGACAAGACGATTAAACTCTGGAAGAGCGACTGCTGAGACCGCGAGCCACCCGGGCGCTGACCCGGATCCGTGGGAAACGGGCCACAGGGCGGGGGTCGGGGCGGGGCCCGCCCCCAGCCGCCTCTGAGAAGGACTTGGCCGAGGGCGGCGTGGGCCTCTGGAGTCCCTGTTGCTGGCGGCATCTCTAGCCGGCTCCAACACTGGCCAGGAGGGCCCTCTGCACCGTGCCCCAGCCGTCAACGCAGTTTCACGTTTTTTATTACAGAGGGTAAAGTTCGATTTATCACGAGTTGTGTTTTTTCAGTAAATGTTCTGTACCTTTTTTGATATTTTATTACCCAGTGCAAACGCTGTGGCCTGTCCCCTCCACGCCTGGGGGCCTGCTGGCCTCTGTGCCCGGGTTCTTCCACTGCAGGCGCCACTGCCCGGACTCTCGCAGCCACGCGGCGGGCACTGGGGACACAGCCCTCGCCATTGGCCAGTTCCCGCCTGCGCTCACTCCCCGTGTATTGTCGTCTCCTGAGGTGGTCTCCATGTAAGAACCTTCCGTGCGTGGGCACCTGTGTCCATGTGCTGGCAGGCTCCGTCTGCCCCCTGGCACCTGCACACCGAGCACCGGGGCTGAGCACAGGGTGAGCTCTGCGTGCACGTGTCTGAGCTCAGGAGGAAGCTGCCTCCTGGAAGGGGCTCCCCGTCAGCAGGTGGAGGGCTGTCCTCAAGGGCAGGGCCCGGTGGCTGCATCCTGAAGACGGGCCCTCCCTGTAGGGCGGTAGCCCTTGGCCCGGGCTGTGGAGGAGCGGGGGCCCCTTCACTGAGAAGGGGCTGGAGCTCTGGGCCCCGGTTGGAATGGGAGACACTGGTGTGGGGAGGCTTCCTGCTTCCTTCCAGGCCTGACTAGAGGTGGAGAGCCAGCCCCTTGTCATTGTTGCCAGAGGCATGGCTCCTGCTGTCTTGGCCCTCCCCCCCCCCCCCCAGCCGCTGCTCTAGCTGGGGTCTGGGGCATGTCAGCGTCTGGGCCAGGTCTGGGCGGTGCTGGCGGAGCTTGGCACTGCCCAGTGGTGTGGCCACCCGTGGAGCCAGCACGAGCTGGCGACAGGAGGCGCCTGCCTGGCCCTGTCTGCTCAGGGGCACTTTGCTGTGGCAGGCCCTGGTGCAGTCGGGCAGTGGTGGGCTGCAGGGCCAGGCTGGGCACTGGGAAGGAGGAGAGGGCTGCAGTCGACGGGGCCCTGGGGGGAGCAGAGGACCTGCTGGTGGGCTGGTCGCCCTGGCCAGGGCCACCTGGGCTGAGAAAACCAACCGCAGAGGTGTCTGGAAAGGGGTCTCCCGCAGCCTCCCACCCCTCCTGGAGGCAGCTGTGCGAGTGGGTTGTCAGGTCCAACGCGTGGGTGGCTGCGGGGCCATGGTGGACTAGCCGCTTGTGCCGTATGCCGGGCCCCTGCCGAGGCCGCGCCCACGAGCGCGGTCCCGTCGCATCGCTGCAGACTTCCTAAGGGACAGGCGTTGGGGTTCTCGGGTCTTGTTTGTTGTGTCAGCGGCTCCCTCCTGGGAGTGGAGGGCAGCTTGCTGTGTCCCTGAATATAGTTTATTTTTTCTACATTGGAATTCTCTGTTGTAGATTTATGTAAAAATACATTCTCTTTTTGAAAATAAAGATTTTCATGTCTTCTAATTTTGTCATGCAAGAATTTAAGATGTAGCTGTCATCTTGGAGAGCGGGGATAGCAGGTGTCCTGGTGGCTCTGTCCCCAAGTTGGGCAGTGGCTGACCGGCAGTGTCCTTGACATCTGACCTCACTGTGAAATTTGCATCTTTATGCTGTCGGCCGATGGTGTTGAGCAGCAGGCAGAGATGAGAAAACCCGAGCTCCTGTATGTGGGGTGGCACACTCCCCTAGAGCAGGATCTGCTAGTGTAGTCATTAGAAACCAGCTTTTTAAAAAAATACTTATTTTAATTCAACCAAAGAGGGACAGAGAGAGAGAAAGCAAGCTGCCAGCTCCAGGGCTAGAACCATGGTTGGCTATGTGGGAGTCCAGTGCCCATAACCACCATGCCACCCTGCTGGCCCCAGAAAAACCAGCTTTAATTCATGTAGTTACAGGAGTGGTGAGTGGCAGGTGTCCCCTCCTGACCCTGTCACCCGCTATCAGCGCTTGGATCTCTGGTTCCTGACCCGTTGTCACACTGCGGTCCGGGCTCGGCCTGTGAGCTGTGTGCTTGGTTCTCCAGGAGCCCGGCTGCCACCCCACCGCTGTCACACCTTGGGAAGTCTAGTCCTGGAACGGTGTGCCCACACTTACAGTCTGTGCCTTACATGGACACCCCGGGTCACGCTGTGCAGTCTCCCCGGCCTGGATGCGTGTGTGTGCAGGGTCACCTGATCAGTCTCGGGTGGGTTTGAAGAGTGTGTCCCTGGATATTTGTCCAAAGACAGGAAACATCATCATAGTCCACTGTCATGTCGTTAGCAGAAATACCCGGGACCGTGACTGCTAAGACGTGGAACTTTGACTCGGATTCCGTGGCCAGAATGCCTAAAGGTGAGGGGCTGGAGGCTGGCGGAGGCAGAGCGATGGTGGGCGCGTGGAGCAGCCCTGGGTGCCCCCTTTTCCTGACAGTGCTCTCTAAGAGCTACCCCTGCTCACTTGGTCTTTCGAGAGGCAGAGTTAAGGCGCGCAGAGCTGGTGCCTCTGCTCCCGCCACCAGGCCTCAACACCTAGCAGCTACACTGGGGGCCAATTTCCAAAGCATGAACCTCTGGAGGACGAACCACTGTGTAGGCCACAGTCTTGGACATGTGAACAGAAATTGTTCTGGTACACCACGGGAGGGCAAAGCTGACGGCATAGCAGGTCACAAACGCCGGTGGGGCCTTGCACTTCCTGCCCCTGCAGTGCCCGGTGTGGGCGCACTGGGTGGAGCCAGGAATGGGAACAGGTTGGGACCAGCAGATTTCGGAATGGTTACATCGCTGGACTCCCGTGTAGTTGACTCGGTGACTTAACACAGGGAGTGTGTGCATGTGTACCCAAAATCCTAAGAGGAAAACGGACGAGAGATTGTGGCCTGGCCTCCTCCTGGGTGTGTGTGTGTGTGTGTGTGAGATTTCTCACTTTGTGCCGTACAGCAAAAATCTCTTCTTGAAAAAAACTACGCTAATAAAGATGTGGGAATGGGTCGTTGTGGCCTGGGCACAGGGGGACTTTGGAGCAGCCGAGAGTCGGTTTACGCAGCCCACGGGCCAGAGTGAGTGGGACACGGGCGTGTGGAGCCAGAGCGCTGCCAGGTGGGTGGGACGGGCGCCCACACCTGTCAGCCAGGGCTGGTTCCCCGAGGCCCCCCGTTCAGGGCCGTGGATGGAAGCAGTGGCTTGGGTGGCCATGCTGTATCGGCCGTGAAACAGGATGTACCCTTCTCGGCCGGAAGTGTAGGGCTGGCCGGAGCACGGGCTGGAACCCCGGCACCAGAAGCTTGTCTCCCTGTAACTTGCACACAAGATGGATTGGACCCACAGGGCAGATGATGGGCTGATCCCACGTGTACACACATGTGTGTGCATGTACATGCACACATGGGACACACGGGCAAGGGCGCATACCTGGGCACACGGGTGGTCTCGTCCCCTTCCGGTCGGTTCCTGAGACAGACAAGGTCTCCAGGCCACTGTCTGCTGGCTCAGCGGGTTGGGATCGCGGGCAGGTGTGCACACACCAGGAGCTCAGGGGTTAGGGACACTGCCCAGCAGCTTCCCGGGGAGGCCAGTCGCACCTACCCCTACCTCCGCCTGACCCCTCGCCTTGTTTCTTTTTTTTTGGAGAGTTTTTTTTGCTATAGGGCACATGCGCTCGCCAGACAGAGAGAGACAGAGACAGAAAGCGAGAAATCACCCCCCATGGGGGATGACCACGCCACAATTCCTTCTCCATTCTCCTCTCGGGATCCTGGGCATGCACGCACACGCGGCCGGCGTGAGTTTAAGCCACCAGGTCTGGGACTTGAACCGCGGTCGACTACGTGGGAGTCCAGTGACATAGCCATTACGCTAACTGCTGGTCCCCTTGTTTCTTAATTGCGGAAAACTAACCCTTTACCGAGCCGGCTCCGCAGTCCGATCAGCATGAGGACGTGCTCAGTTTACTCAGTCTGTAAACCGGTGGCTGCCCCTCATCCAAGTCTGGCATTTTTTTTTAAAAAAGAGGTTTTTGCTCTAGAGCATATGCACTCTCCAGAGAGAGAGAAAGTGAGAATCTCCGGGGGGCATGCCCCAGCCCTCCCCCTCCATTCTCTGGGATTTTGGGCACACGGGTTTTGAGCTGCTGGGCCACGTGAGAGTCCAGCACCTTAACCACTGCGCCACCTGCTAGCCCCACTTGTGGCATTTGTGCCCCCTGCAGACCCAAGGGATCCTCCCCCGCAACTCGAGAACCCCCGTCTCGTCCTCCAGTCCCTTCCCCCTCAGCTTCTCGTCTTTCCGAATTTCCAAGTCCCCCAGTTTTCCTTGTCGTTCACCCTGGACCCCTGCCTGGGTCTTGCTGAGTGTGCCTCCCGGGGTGTGTACCACCCTCTCATCTCCTGTGTGCCCTGGGAGCTGCTGGTGAGGTCGCCAGCTGCCCTGCCTGTCTGCTCTTCGTTTGCCGCAGGGCAGGTGTGCCCACTGCAGAGACGGGGACCGGGAGGGTCATGCTGCAGTCCCTTCTCCATTTCTCCCTTTTGGGATTTTGGGCACATACACTTACGCCCGGCGTGTTTTCCAAGCAGACTCTGGTACTCAGCTGCAGAGGCGGCCATGGGCCCAGCCGCCTTCACCCCATCCCTGCTTCGCCTTTTCCCTCCGCGGTAAGCAGACGGTGCTTACGCATTCTCCTAGTGGGGTCTCGTCAGTCTGCACTGATTTAGTCTGACGTCTCTCCAGACCCTTATGTGAGCCCTCCATGGAAGGACTGACAGCCTTCTGTGCTCCAGCGACACGACAGTGAAACACGACTGAGGCTCGCACACCCCCTCACTCCTGCCGCGGTCTCAGCCCTTGGTTTCGTCTATTTCACTATACAAATGAATTTGGTGTGGGCCAGCAGGTGGCGTGGTGGTCGACGCGTTGGATTCCACGTGGCGGACTCTGTGGTTTGAGTCCTTGACCTGGCAGGTTGAAAATGGGGGGTTGTGGTGTGGTGTGGTGCAGGGGGTAGAAAAAGCTTGGTGAGCCAGCCAGTGGCATGGAGGTTATGGTGGCTGGATCTCACATGGCCAGTTCTGCAGTTCAAGTCCCAGGCCCAGTGCCTTGAAAAGCATGCTGGCCACATGCACGTGTGCGCACAAAATCCTG